GATTTATGCATAACATTTTTGGATGTACAGATTAATTTTTATGATTTTTTTGTTCCTTGATAACGACAGTTGTGAGAAGGACAAGAAAATTTTTAATACAAAAAACATGATTGCATGAATCACTTATGATACTCCCTGATTAGACGTTCTCTGTGCTCCTTTCTGACATCTTTTACTTTATCTCGCAGGCTCTGAAGCATTTTTCTCGAATCGACTCTTTATTTGGTGTTGTATTGAGGCATTCAATTACGTTGAGTTGGTTGCCTGTGTTAACTAGCGACCCAACTCCTAAAAAATCGACGATCGAGATATCATCAAACTCGAGACTTAGATTTCCCCCATCATATTTGATAGGTCGAATCGTCGGTTTTTCTCTCATCCTAGAGTTTTTTGTTTGCTTGCCCTTAGAGGTGACTCTTTTATTTGCTCTCCTTGGAAGTTTTTGTTTGGTCGCCATTGGAGTGTAGTATTTTATTTGCTCGCTCTAGAGGGGAGTCGTTTGTTTGCTCACCCCAGAGTTTTTGGTTTGCTCACCCTTGAAGGGGGGCCTTTTATTCACATGCTACAAAATTAGTGGCAATAGAGTAATGTACTATCGTCTTAGCAAGGTACGAAGATTCAACACACGCTCAGGTGAATGAAACAACCAATAGAGACACCATAAATTTTTACGTAGAAAACCCGTAAAGGGATAATCATGGAGTCTAGCCCAGCTGAAAAGTTCCATTGTAAAATGATGATTACAGCTGCAACCACTTGTCCCACAGACGATAAAGGGTTATAAGGTCTCCAAAGTTACAACATTAACGTGTGGATGAACTTGATGAAAGGAATTGACGGCGACTGATAGCAAACGACAATGGCCCACAAGTGGTGGTCAAAGATGTTCGATGATAGTTAGCAGTGGCTGACATTGATCGGTTGTGGTTGACGACGGTCGGCGGTGGTCAATGACAGTCGACAGTGTTCAATGGCGATAGGTTTGATGTTAGACTTCAGCTTCTTCTCAAAGCTTCAAGCCCTTTCTTAAGCTCCAAGCTCTCCTCCCCCCTCATGAGTGGGGTGAGGTTTTATTTATAGCATTTTGGGTACAATTAATGCAGGAATATGAACCACTTTGATCAAATGGCTCAGAGGACTTCCCTCGATCAAATGGCATTTGATGGACATTTGAGTACCTTAACAATGTTAGAATTGAGTGATAATAGGCTTGTTTAATTCGTCTCGCCGGTCGCTCGATTTGACCATAAGCTCGCAGGATTTAACATCCATTTGAACCTCCAAATATCTCCTAAAAACTTCTAAAAGCAGTTTAATGGCTTGATCGAGGCTCGATTTAAATCAGATTGAATCAATGTCAGTACTATTGGGTATGTCTTATTGAGCGGGTCAGTTGGACTATAAGTTTGCTGAAATTGGAGTACTGGATATCTTTTAATCAAAATTTGAATATCTTTTACTTAAAAAATTATATTGAGATCCATATTATATCTCAAGATTGTTGTTAGATGAAAGAAATTGTTGATATTGCATCACTTATGAAAAAGATTTTTCTTCCGAGCTCATGTGCTTGAGACTAAGCTGTACACGTGCCTCTCAGATCGAAGGACCAATTGTCACGAGGAGAATAACTGGGACAAAATATGGCTGGTGCTTCGCTAATGCCACTCTGTCACACTTGTCGCCTCTATTTGTTTATAATTACTTTTAATTATTATTATTATGTGGTAGGGCCCATATAAGCTTTTCTGGTTCAGAGCTTAGTTTAAATTCAATTTACGTCCATACCACACAATTCACACCCAAAATTTAATATTTACACTTACGTCGCCTTAATGTCATATACATTAAAAAAAATAATAATAAATAAATAAATAAATAAATAGTGATAGTGATATTTTTGATGTGATGTTAAAAATTTGAATAATATACATGTAAATATGAATGTTCAACTGTCATAAAAGAAGTGTGTGGTATGTATGTAAATGCACTGCATACGTAGACTAACTAAAATTAAATTCGCTAAATCATCCAAAATAAATAAATAAATAAAATTTTCATTTAAAATTAAATAATATATCTTTTTAACAATTTTTTTTTATCTTAAATGCTAAATAAAATTATATATTTAGATATTATTTATTTATTTATTTTGCAACCTCCTAAAAAATGATATTAAAACCACCCTGAGCTGATTAAAGATGAAGAAAAATGTTTTGTCATAAAACGGCAAAAAGTAAGACACTATTGAGGGAAATAGTAAAAGTTCCTTCTCCCCATCTCGGTGAGATGATGGTGCAAACTTCTCTCCACTAGCTTGATGTAAAAATACTTCAGGACTCTAATCACTGTCTGTCATGTGTAAAATCTATGCCCTCTTAATTAAAAAAAAATGAAATAATTTAATATACGGTGGGCCCGGACTGTACACTCAGAAGACGGAGGTATAATGAGTTAACTATAACGAAACAAATAATTTAAAATCGACATTAGTTATAATTATTAATGTAAACTTAGAAGTATGATAGTGATTAGTGGCCAAGACAATTTAAAATGAAAGTTGAATAGCATTATCTAAAAACTATTAAAAAAATATAATAGTTAGTGATGTATTACTAAATTAAGAAATTATTTAATTACATCTTATAATTCATCTACAAATAAATAATTAGTAGTGTATTAGTTTTATATGAAATTAAAAGGATTTTAATAATTTTTAATATTGTACAACAAGTATCAAATAACTTTCCTAATAAACAGTTTACAAATTATTATTCACTTCATTTAATAAAGAAAGATAATGTAAAGAAGAAAGATTTACATAAATACCACTCAATTCTTATGTATTTATAAACTTTTAATTTTTATTCATTTTCTACCTAACCTATGCTGAAAATGTGTATTTCATTATTTAAAAGTTAAAATAATAATATTTTTATATGAGATAAAACTAATAAATTATTAATTATTTATTTTGTTGATGAATTATATAATGTAAATAGTTTCATAATTTAGTAATCCATCACTAACTATTTGTTGAACCTAAATTCATCCTCGAGCCACGTCTCGAGGGATAACACACAAGAAGAGAAAATAAGAATCCATTGAGGAAAGACTAGAGAAATTTTAGTGAATTAATAGAGATTCCTTAATGCACGAATTAGAAGCAAAGGATCTTCCCATTTTTTTGTACAGTACCTCATATTTATAGATGTTAACGTCATCCTGAAAAGATACATCATATCATCTAAAATAAAAGAATCCCGCCAAAATGCCTTGGCGGGACCCTGTACAATTTCAATTTAGTCGCTCGTTTCTAATAGTAACGCTCGAAAGAACAACACCTTTCATGAAGTATCATGTTCTTTTCGCCCTGTATTTCAAATACTATCATAATGCTTATGTCATTTGTTCCTAGCTTTAAGCTGCCTGATCAGGAGTCTGAGTATCTACCGCTTGATATTAAGTGACGGCCTCTAGGTGGCCAACTCCTTTGAGCTTGTGATTTGTTGAATGGCCAATAAGGGCGGTCAACATCAATCAAAAATACATTGTTTGCAGTGGCCTGGCCTTAGTGGTTTGCTCAACCCTAAGTAGGACGGCCTTGGGTGTCTCCAACCTATCACTCTTCTTTTGCTCTTCAACGCCTCGTGATCATCTGTTAAAGTTTGGCTGTAGTGACCGCTGGGCTGCATGGAGAAATCTTTAAGTTACCTATCTTTATTTTATCAAGTCTTTTGGTCACATCATTAAGAATTCAATGAAATGTATGTCATTTGGGCTATATTAATGGTTTATGGCCAAATACCTGATAGCTTACTATTATTCAATATATATATAATTCGGGTCAGGTCTATTCAAATGATAGTTTTGCCAATTGATGGATAACTGGCAAATATAGCAAATCATGACCATTGAACCCGTCGACAAACTATAACATTTCACAAGTTTGACAGTCCAAGTAAAACAACTAGTTAATTTGTCATCTCAGGCACAATTGCTCGTTAATTCGATAGTTCGTCTACTCGTTAGTCCGAAGTCCTTTAAGGTTAGAAGACAACTATATTATTCATATGTTCTTTATTTAGTTTTTTTTTTATTATTATTTTATGTGGGCGTTCGTGTAACATAACCAGTAGTAACAACAAACCTATAATATATGGGATCAAGAATGAGACTACATAGTCTAAGAGGCTAAATCTTATCACACATTTTTTGTGCCTTCCTCTTAACAATTAAATTTTAGAATTTCTCCCATTCTATGCGGTCCTCTTTTTGTCTTTCACTCTATTCTCTTGCTCCTGAATACTCTTTTCAAGGTAATGTAAGTTTACATAAATTCTAGAATTCACTAAATAAAGCTTGATTAAGTATTATATTTGATGTGCATCAAGAAATTTGTTATCATCAACACGATGTATTTTGAGTGAGAGATGGTTCAAATTCAAATTCATGATCATCCAGACCCTGATTTTGGTAAATTTATTCTTAAATTGAGCATCTTCACAGTACACACTTAATGAATTTGAAAGTGATCCAATCTGAGCCCATATGAGACAAAATAAAGCAATTGAAGTGTATTTAGAAGCTTGGGTGTACTATTTAAAAGGTCAAACGATCTCAGAATTTTGCACACTTACAGTCAAATCGAGTGGCTCGAATAGAGAAATCCAACTAGCCTAATTTAAATAATATTTAATTTTTTTTTCATTTATAAGATAAAACTTTAAATTCCCATTTAATTTATAAGATAATATTTAATTTTTTTTCATTTTTCTCCAAGTTACACTGCCCCGCAGAAGTGTCATCAAATGTCCAAGACCTCCTAATGCCTAAGTTACACTGCTCCGCAGGTACAGCATAACCCTAACAGCCGACAACTTCCGAAGCCATTTGCTCATACTAAACGCTGGTACGCTACATAAATGACCTGTAGCCTTTTATGTACCCCGGTTTAACCAGACGCCACATCGCCACACAAATATCCACGAGTTCAATCCATCGGCCTAACCAAACTCACCGCCCACGAGGCCACGCTGCTCTTCTCCTACCTACCTCCTCTTCCACCACTATAAACCAAACCTCAATCTCCTGTTTTCTCAGCTAGGGATCGAACGCCACCGCTCTCGATCTCTTAGCTGTTATCATTCCAGTACCCTACTTTAAACTCCAAATCCATGGCGATCGGAACCCTAACCCACGCCTCACCCCTCCCCACCGGCTGCCCTGCTGCTGGCAGCAAGAAATCGCGCACCATTTCCGTTAGATCCAATCTAAAACAGCAGAGAAAGGGGAAAGAGGATAATTGTACCTTAAACTTTTCTTCTACGCATACAGCGGAGGTGCTTGCCTCTCGGCTCGGTCTTGATATAGCCATCGCCGGGCTAGAGCGCCTCTTTCTACAGCCCGGCGCAGACCCTCCAGATTTCGGCAGATCCGACGGCCGCCGCCGGCCAATCCGTGTGGCATATCAGGGCGTCCGAGGTTCCTATTGCCACGAGGCTGCTACGGCCTCCTTCCCCGATGTCGACGCTTTTCCATCCGGATTTCGGATGGAGGACGCATTCTCAGCTTTAGAATCCGGCTCAGCCGACCGCGCAGTAGTCCCTGCAGAAAATTCCGTAGATGGTCCCATCGACCGGAATCTTGATCTTCTCTTACGCCATCCTGCAGTCCGGATCACCGGAGAATTCATTGTTCCCGTTAACCACTGTCTCCTTGCTGCACCCGGCGTTGCGTTCACCGATCTACGCCGTATCGTCAGCCACCCGCAGGCGCTTGGTCACTGCGAGCGACGGCTCCGATCGCTTGATCTGGAAATCGAAGAGGTCGCCGATGCCGCCGAGGCAGCGCGCGCTGTGGCGGAGGACCGGATCTGCGATACGGCCGTGATCGGAAGCAGGATCGCGGCTAAGGAGTTTGGACTTTGGATCATGGAACAGAGTTTCCATGATGAGGAGTGTAACTTCAATTGTTTTCTCCAGCTGGGAGTGGCAGCTGGGAACCCTTACTGCGGCGAGAATCGGAAGACAAAGGTGGCGTTCTCGCTGGAGAAGGGAGTGTCCGGTTTGTTCCGGGCACTGTGGCTGTTCGAGAGCCGGGGAGTCCGCGTCAGGAAAGTCGACCACCGGCCTAATAGAGCGAACCCGGTTCGTTTGGTGAATCGGGAGGGTGGTGGGGAGGTTGTTCAGATGGACTATGTGTTTGTGGTGGATGTGGATGGGAGCGAGTCGGACCCTTCGGTGGCGGCAGCCATCGCGGGGTTGGAAGAGATTTCGGGTTTCGTGCGGGTGCTTGGGAGCTATGGTTGCAGGAGCAGCTGTGCTTGAAGGCAGATTCGATTAATTGTTTATATTTGAACGTTCTTAATTATTTTAGAAATATTAAGTTTTGTTTTTTCTTTCTTTTGTACAAACTGTGTGAGCTCTGGAGAGAAGCAGCTCAAAAACTGAATGTTGTGTGTTATTTCTTGGAGCAAATTGCTCCAAGAAAGTTTGTTAGAGTTGATATTTTTCTACAATGATACTAATCTTCTTTGTAGATTTTGTGATGCACTCCAAAAGATGTTTTGCCAAGAGCTTAACTTACATATGATCAAGTGTTGATGTGTTGATGGTCAATATTATATATTGTTGAAGAGGATGAGAAAGATTAGAGAGGGGATTTTTTTTTTGGCTCCCATGAGCTGAGGCCAGCTTAAATTCGAGAGATCATGTTTACATTTGCTACCCTTATTTATAGGGGTTGTTTTCATAAAATGACATTGATATATATCATTTCTATTCGATTGCCTTATTGGTAATATCCCCACTAAATATGAGTATTAGAGGGATTTTTTTTTTTTCAGTTTAACTTCTTTGGTAAACATGGATGTTCTCTATCTCTCGTAGTTCTCATTATCGGCCTCTTATACTGTCTTTTGTAATCGCTTTTATGAGTGTTTGGCCACTGAGTCTTTTGGTTTTCTTTGATATAATTTTCTGATAGTCTGAGTCGACCTCTTTGTTGTCTACCCTTGGACTTACTTATCTAATTGCCTTGTTGTATAACAGAAATTCTCATTCGTAGTTTAAGAGGTTGAGATTGTTCAAAGAACCCGTTGAATTCGGCTCTCTCTAATTGGCCCAAACACCAGCTCCATTCGACCTAGCTAGCTCCAGTTGGCTCAACCAGCTCCGTTCGGCTTGGCCCACTCCATTCAGCCCGACCACCAGTTTTGTTTGGTCCAACAATCTTTATTTAGCCCGACATACCAATTCCATTTGGCCCAGCTTCCTCTATCTGAGTCGACCACCAGCTCCATTCTGCTCGGTCACCATGTCTAGTAAACCTATCCAGCTCCATTTGGTCATCTCTAACTGATAGCATGGGACTAGGGGTATAATTATCATTTTAGAATAATCACCCTCCTATAAATATAGAAGCACTATTTATAATTAAAGACGAAAAAAATCTAGGAGGATTGATCACTGTTCATCTCTTTCCCCTCTCTTTTTAATTACACTATTCATTTGATGTTATTATTAGACAAATCTCAAATTCAACATCCTAATGACACAATGATTGTGGATCATATCACAAACAAGAAGATGAGATATACAAGGAATAAAATAAAGCCACATAGAAGTGACTAACAAAATATAATGCATTAGAAAAGTTTTTAGGAAAAACAATCAAATTCATCCAGTCAGCCCCGGAAAGCCAGTTCTATTCAGTCTGGTCAGACCAGCTCCATTCGACCCAACCACTAGCTCTAGTGGTGCCAACCAGGCCAATTTCATTTAGCTCAGTTAGGCTAGCTCAACCACCAGTTCCATTTGACCCAACTAATAGCTCCATTCGACTTGGACCACCAGCTCCAATCAACCTGGTTAGCTCTAGTCCGCCCAACAGACAAGCTCCAACCAACTTAACTAGCTCCATTCTGCTTAGCATGCTCCATTTTGCACGACCAATAGCTCCATTTGGCCCAGCCAGCACTAGTCAGTCCAACAACCTTTATTTGGCTTGGCCATGTTCACCTCATTTTTAATGATATTTAATTCTCTTGTTTAGATGCCTAAGATCTAGCCATATGATTTTCTTGTTGACTATCCTATTAAAATTCTAAATACTTCTTGACTCTTCTTGTGAAGTCTCACATGGGTGGTCACAAACCATCATTTGCAAATTAGATGGCTACGACTAATATGTGGAGACCCATGATTGAGTTCCTATAGAATCAGTTGGCCTTAGAGTAGCTCTGGGTGACTTGGCCTTGGACACATTTGAAATCCCCAAATTCCTTAACACACCCAAAACCATCCATCTTACCTAATTTGGTCTATCTCCCCTTGAAGTCCATGGCTACTCCTTAGGCTCTTTTGAAGACTCATGTGGGTGGTTCAAAGTCCCTAACCCTTGGTTAGGATGACTGAGACTAACATGTGGAGGCTCCAAAATGAGTTCTCATAAGACCATATGACTTTGAGGAGGCTTTTCATGGCTTGCATGCTCACATCATCCAATCAACCCTAAATCCACCAAAATTTGCCAAATGACCAAAATACCCCCAAATCCTAAAAAATACCTAAAATTGTCAAAATACCCAAACCTTCACAAAAATCATTTTAAACCTCTCCAAATTACCAAACTACCCCCAAAATTACCAAAAAATTTGCCCAAAATATCCTAATTTTCACCAAAATGCCAAAAGTACTCAAAATTCACCAAAATTCTCAAATTGTCTCTATTGTTCACCAAGTGTATTTCAAATCCTCCTAATGATAAATCTAAATCCAACCCCACCAAAATTCAATCCCAAATCCATGTCTATCGAAGATCAAATTCAAATCAATCCAAATCGAACAATTTTGAGCCTACATGACAAATTAAATTTCACCAAATATATGCCTCAAATTTCAACATGACAATTCCTAAATTCCATCAAGCCCATCATGAATAGCTTAAATAAAAATTCAAGCCAAATTCAATTACACATGACCCATTTTTAAAAGTACACCAAAATCAAGCCCAATTTCTAATTCCTTTAAAATCAAAAACTCACATGATAAATTTCTTATTCTTATCATCCATTTAATCAAAATCAAACCCTAATCTCTAATGTCATAATCAAAATCAATCAAATTTGAATTTACACCGATACCATGTAAAATCCCCAAAATTTCTAATATTCCTCCTCATGAAAGTTGTCTAGGCCACATGCAAGCCATAGAGTCTTCTCCAAATCATATGTGAGCCATATGAGCCATGGAAAGTCCACCATACCCGAAGTGGCAAAAGGAGGACATGTTTTCAAGCCCCTCAAGCTTTGTCTCACCTTTCCATGCTTCATGCCAAGCCCAAGCTCAAACCCTAACCTCTTGGATGTGACTTCTTGGACAAAACGTAAAAACCAAGAAGACCACACCAACCACCATGGGGAGGTAGACCAAGCCATTTCCAACGGCTAAACCCAAGTCAAACCTAAAAGAGGCCTAAATCCCATTCCTCTTTGATCCACCCTTTGCCACCTGAGACAACCCAATTGCCTCCACAATTCTCCAATCCTAACCCCCCTGAGCCACATAGTTGCCACCCTTAGACTGGCCAACCGCCTAGTCATCGGAAAACACCAAACCCTAGAGATCATCCATGACCAAAACTCTAAATTTTCCATCCAATGTGGCTCACTCCCAATGGATTTTTGCCCAATTGAAGCCCCCTTCCCTGCCTATAAAAAAAACCACCACCTCATGGCCAAAGGGAGGTGATGCACAAACCTTGTCGAAGCCCTACCAAAATTTCTCCAAAACATTCCCTTAGCCTTGCGAAGCTCATCACCACCATCTTCCAACCCTCAAACTGAGCCTAAAAACCTAATTTCCCAACTGAAAATCAAGGCCTTTTCAGTCATTCCACCAAACTCCATTAAGCTTCACCATAGCCTAAAATCATTTCCTTAATCAAAATCCCCCATTCCCGAGCTCTCTAACCTTGTCCAAGACCTAAGCCATTCCACCCTTTAGTCTACATCATACCTAGGCCCCATCACAACTCAAAGTGACATTTTGAGGAGGTTCTTGAGGTCAAGGCGATCTTCTCCAACTAACTCAATTGAGGCCTCACCTCTTGGACAAAAGTATAACCCAAAATCCCTAATTTTTGCCTTGGTTTGGACCTTTGTGAAAGAAATGTGCATTTCATACGCATTTGACCATATAGATAGGTTCGTCTCACTTAGATGAAGGTGTAAAAACAAACCACACTTAATTTCATTAAGTATCAAGTGAGAGCTTAAGGTTAGAAGTTAGACGATTCTCGAGTATGAACGATCGACGAAGAAGAACTGTTGTTGTTCGTTTTCGCGTGTATTGAACGAGCGGCCGAGATGAAGCTGAACGGGAGCACGGTATGTGAAACTGCCGGTCGAGTCAACGCTTGCGTCGAAAGGCCAGTCAACCGGAGCGCGTCGCTTGGGAGTTCAAATCTGACGAGGATGACGGGACGCCGAGTCGGATAAGTAGATAAATAGGGTATTTTGGAATTATTTAAATACATAAAATGATATTTAACTTAAAAAATACATATCTTGGTGTAGAAAAATCCTAAAATAAAATAAAAATACTCTTATGCTCAGTGAACAGAGGAAAATAATATAGACCACAATAAAAAATATTTGCCTTATGTTTATTTTTAAATTAATTAAATACATTAAAAACTTGTTTAAATCACAGCTAATTAAATATTATTCAAAATAATGTAAAATTTTAAGGGCTTACTCTTCATGTGCTTAGAAGTGTTCTCTAGTTTTTCTAAAGTCAGAGAACACTCCTATGATCAAAAGCCCTAATTTTCTAGAACTCTTAGTATTATTTTAATTAAATAACTATAAAAAATAAAATAAAGGTCAGAAAAAATATAAAATCAAGTTTGGTAGATTCACTGTGTCCGAAGACCTTAGGAAAAATAGAAATCAAATTTAAAAAGTTCAAAAAGTATTTTTTCCATTTAAAACCAATAATAATTTGTTAAAAATTAGAAAAGATACAAAATAATTAAAAAAAACACCAAAATATCCCAAAATGGAGGAAATGGTTTTGTAAAGTCTCTTTTAAAATTTGAAAATCAAAAAAATTATTTTTAAAATAAAAAAAAATTTCTAAGTAAATAAAATTTTTTGCTTAAAATAATTATATAAGATATAACAAAAATCAGAAAATTATGGAAACTAGTTTGGAGTTTTCATTAAGATTAGAGGAAATTTGAAAAAATAAAATGGAAGTCAAAACAAAAATGTATTTTTGAGCTATTTTTAATTTAAAAATAATTAAAAATCAAAACCATTTTTCTTAGCTCAATTAAGGCACTATTGAATTATTGATTGCTAACCTTAAGCACATATTGAAGATATTTAATGCACACCTAAAATTTGTGGAAAATTTTGTCTAATATTCAGTATATAAATATAAAATAAATAAAGTAAGTAGCCATTTTAGCTTGTTTTAAGAAGAAAATAAAATTTTCAAATCTCTATATTAGCTCCAATAG